GTAATATGTATTTTAAGTAGGGAAGTCCTGATCCAGTTTTAGGGTCCCAATATGGATCCTTTACAGTGAACTATATAATACATTTTGATCAACATGACATAAACAACTGATAATGTAGGAAACAGCAGAGAATTGTACATAATCATTTGCATGGATGTACCAAAGCATTTGCAACTTCTTCAGACAAATGAGAAACTGCTTTTTTGATGTGCACAAGTGACACAATGATGTGAAGATTGAACAGGTAGTTTTGAGAATTTCAATTCTGATCTGAGAAATGTACCAAACTGACTGAGAAAAACTGTAACGAAGAGAACCACCTCACAACTTCATATACTTGGATGAGGCTGGCTTCAACCTGGCCAAAGGCAGAAGGCGTGGTAGAAATCTAATCGGCCAGAGAGCTACTGTTGATGTCCCAGGCCAACGGGGAGGAAACATCACTATGTGTGCTGCTATGTCAGACCAAGGTGTGCTAGCTCATATTCCTATTATGGGACCGTACAACACACAGCATCTCCTTACATTCTTAGACAATCTCTATAGAAATGTCATTCCTGAAGATGAGAGGGACCTCAATCGAGATGATGTACCAAAGTATGTAGTAATTTGTGATAATGTCAGTTTCCATCGCTCCGACAACATCACGCAGTGGTTTGTCCACCACCGCAGGATGCTGATTGAATTCCTTCCACCCTACTCCCCATTCCTGAACCCAATTGAAGAGTTTTTCTCGGCGTGGGGGTGGATGTTTTATGATCATCAGCCACATACACGGATGACACTGCTGGCTGCCATGGATGCAGCATGTGAGGACATCTCAGCAGATGCATGCAGAGGCTGGATTAGGTACTCAAGAAGATTCTTTCCACGGTGCATAGCAAGACAAAATATATGTTGTGAGGGGAATGAGGAGCGGTGGCCCAACAGACAGGACCGACATGACGCATAGGAAAACTGCCACGTAATCTCACCTTTACCTTCTGTTTTACATGTATAGTTCTTCCCACTTTGTCTTTTTTACAATATGTTTCCATTGCTAGGTAAATAGACTATGTATAGTTTCCTTTGTTGTCTGTATGTACAGTAAGTACCACTATTGACAGTACAGTAGAAATGTGAGTACAGGCTGATCTTTTGTTTCGATTCTTCCATATACTGTAACGTGGGGCGATGGTGATTGGTTAGATGGAATCATTCAGAAAATTATCTATTCTTACCATGTAAATTACTTTACAGTTTCCTCTATCGCTTTCATTCATTTCTCACAACAGAATTGAAGTTTGCAGATCTCCAAGTGCATTTCTCAAAACAACACGTACAAACTGCACAACAGAGTGGATAACCGGAAAAAGCGCGTCACCTGCTCAAAATGCTTTGTCTATCGTGCAAAGGTGTTTACAGTTTTTCTCTATCGCTTTCATTCATTTCTCACAACAGAACTGCATTTCTCAGAACTACTCGTTCAACCATCAGATTCTGTTGTCAGTTGTTCACATCATATCAGCAATTTCTTGTTGTTTTCATCAAATTGCAATGGCTTTTGGACAACATGTAAATGGTTCTGCCATTTACTGACAACATGACTAATAATTTTGCCTGTCACATTCACATTGTTGAGGAAATGACATGGGATTCTGCTGCCTCTGACACAATGATTGATGAATAAACACACTTTTGCACAATAGACAAAGCATTTTGAGCAGGTGACGCGCTTTTTCCGGTTATCCACTATGTTGTGCAGTTTGTACGTGTTGTTTTGAGAAATGCACTTGGAGATCTGCAAACTTCAATTCTGTTGTGAGAAATGAATGAAAGCGATAGAGAAAAACTGTAATTAACTGCCAATACTGATTCCAATTCGATACTTATATTTACCTACAGTAAATGTCTGTTAAATATCTGACATGTTGAAATTGAAATTAATCTGGCACACTGTATTTTCAGGAACTTCTTGATTCAAATCCTGGATCAGAGCCTGCTTCCAAAATATTAAGTTTAAATTATTGACATGAATAAAATAATAACTAGGAGCTGGACAACACATTCTCAGCTACAGTCATTACAAGGCAGATAATAATTACTACTATAAATCATGAATACACATTTGTGAACACACTGCGAACACCCATTTTGCGTAACAAAGCCAATTTAGATCGCCCTGTTTGACAGTTTAATGATGCTGCATTAACAAAAGGTGGTGGCTGTCATACCACCACTGGAGAAAAGCATAAAACTTACGGGGTCTACACCAAAAGCATAAATCTGCTAGAAAGAAAAAAATCCTGGGAGTGAATTGACCTATTCTGTTATTTTACAGTTTTTCTCAGTCACTTTGGTACATTTCTCAGATCAGAATTGAAATTTGCAAATAAGTATGTGCATTTCTTAAAACAATTTGTACAAACAGCACAACACTATGGATTTCCTGCAAAAGCCTGTAACTTGCTCAAAATCTTTAGTTCATCTCTCAAAACTAAGTTTTTATGTCAATGAACATGTCAGTGCCATCAGAATGACAAGTCCTTGTGTCATTGTGTACGGATAAGACAGTCAAATTGCTTAGTCATGTTGTCAATATAACCGTGTACTTTGGAGGGAGGTTCTGATGAAAACTATGGCTACAGTTTCGATGACAATTATTGCAAATTGTAGGTTACACCTTAGTGTATGTGGGAGTTTGATTGCAAGAGACTGGACAAGATTCACA